GGACACCCAGGATTTGTTATAATGGGTCTAGTTTGTTAATAAACAGAATGATCCAGATACCAGTTTATTGGTCATAAACCTGAGTCCAGAAAACCGATGGCAATTCCCTTAAAGTTGAATGTAATGTTATTAAGCTAGAATAAGACAGTGGCTTCGCATTTGTCTGTAGACTGCTGATCATCAGCAGTCTCGCTTGGGTCTGGTAGCTGCCTCAGCAGTCAGCGATACGTGGAGACTGGCAGTCAGTCAGTCAGTTGCTCACATCCACCTTATACAGTAGCTGAGATGGTAAGTTTTATCGTTTTATTTTCTCATAAAGCAATAGCATGATTGAAAAGTTGTCTATAAAGAGTGTGACCATTGCCTACATATACAATGGTATTATAGGGTAGGCCTATAGTCAATGGTATGACTAAGAACGCAAGTAACAATCTCAAAATACCCTTGCCACAGTGTTATGCAGACCAAGCAAATTGCCATATTTATTGAATTTCCACTTAAATATTTAATATTTCCTAAAAATTTACCTTAGGTTTGCAGAAGGTAATTAAGTGTGTTTTAGTAAAATGTTAATAGCTTTAAAGGAAAGAATTACAGTAGCCAAGTTTTATAAAAATACTAGCAGAGTACCCGTCCTTCGTACGGGGTTGGCATATAAGTATAAAATGCTTATTGCAGTTATGGGTGAGGACATGGTTTAAGAAAGTTTGGTTCTTTCTACCACTGCCCCTGAACCATAGAAAACAGTAAAGGTCTCATTGTGTACCACAGCTTTTTGTTGCTAGTTGGTTCAAATTAGCTGTTGTCATAAATACAAAAAAATAATAGTGCTGCACCCTGTAGGTGCTTAAAACCTATTAATGCTTTTTAATAACATAGAACTAACTTGTGCAGTTGAAACAGCTGACAATAGTTATTTGTGTAACTAGTGGGCAAAATGGCACTTTGCTGCACACGAGAGCAATGTTTACGAGGGAATGATCTTGAGTGCAGCAAAGGCCTTTTTCACTCGTGTTACACATTATATTTTTCCTACAGTTACTATAAAGCATATAAATAATTAGTCTTTCAAACACTATACAACACGTGTTTAGGTTCAGCTGGCAACACAAATAGGTGCAATAGAGAAAGTAGTACCCGGTCCGTATCACTCCGATATTTTTCCTCGGCAAGAAATGTGCTCCGCGTTTTGAGAATATAGTTCCGTATATTTTTGCAATTTGAAGTGGTTTCCGCGCCTTAAAAATGCTTTAAAGGTATTTTCTTGTTTATTAAGATCGTAGGGATGTTTTAAAAACGTTTAAAAGAAAAGTCCAGAAAGTTCTGAAATGCTGAAACTATAAACACGAAATGACAGGTTAAATCGCAGTTATAATAGTCAATCAGCTGCTCATAGTATTATTATTTTTAAGTGTTGCCAACCTATTTCCAAGCGTACACGGATTACGTGCATAATAATAGAACCACGCTGTTTTGTTATGTTTCGTTGGTATCCTGATGTGCGGCAAAGTATAAACCGTACGACAAAGTATAAACTGTACGACAAAGTATAAATATGCAGCAATTAGCAGCTTTCTGTACTATAAACAGTATAAGGAAGCCAACTTTGTCGGATGACTGTAGGAAAAATTCTTTAATTCCTTTTGGATATATATTTTTATCAAACTTGGCAAATTTATTTATTTTATACTAAGCTAATAGTATTTTCCTAAAATCACACTCCGTAACCCTCCCTGTAGCAGCATAACTTAGATTCTCGTTAAACCTAATGTTATTGAATTAGATATAATTGAAAATAGGCTGCAGGTGTGCTGCGGCGGGGGTAATATGGAATGGTAATTGATATAGAAAGAAGACTTTGTTGTAGTACATGATTAACTCTTCTAAGTTATATAAGATACTAAAAAAATAAATTGGTCGAGTTTTCGACCACGGGGCGACTCTCGTTTTTACTAAAATATTTCCATGAATAAGGGATATTTATTCCCAACTAGCAGAGTACCCGTCCTTCGTACGGGGTTGGCATATAAGTATCAAATGCTTATAGCAGTTATGAGTGAGGACATGGTTTAAGAAATTTCGGTTCTTTTTGAAGTTCGTTCGCTACGCTCACTCACCTTTAGGTTGGAGCTCGTTCGCTGCGCTCACTTTCCTTCAGGTTAGCTCGTTCGCTACGCTCACTTGCCTTCAGGTTAGCTCGTTCGCCACGCTCACTCGCCTCCAGGTTGAAGTTCGTTCGCTACGCTCACTCACCTTTTGCTGTTGTCATAAATGTAAAAGAAATAATAGTGCTAGTGCTGCACCCTGTTGGTAATCCTTGTAACTTTTAATGCTATTGAAAATCATAGAACAGAACCAACTTGTTTAATTGAAACAGCTGTTAAGATTCATTAATTCCATTTCTCATAAGGTTAACATGGGAAACTCCAGAGCCACTGGGGCGGAGCCCCGAAGGATTTTTGGGATAAAAATATGCCTATATGTTAATCGGGAATGTGAGCTATCATCATGCCAAATTTCAGCCCGATCCGACCAGTAGTTTTTGAGATTAGCTCATACAAACACACACACAGACACCACCTCTTCTTTATAATAGTATAGATAGATAGATAGATAGATAGATTTTAATAACATTAGATTTTACGAGTGCTTGGTTTGCTGCTACGGGAAAGGTAAAACGTGTTTTTTGACCAAACGTCAATAGTATAGAATGAAATAAATAAATTTGCCAATGTCGAGTTTGAGTTTTGAGTGGATATATCCGTTTTGGGTCCCCCTGGACCCAAAATAGTGGGTTTCGAAGTGATGTCTGTTGCGTGTGTGTGCGTTAGCACGATAACTCGAGCAAAAATGATCCCCTTTTGATGAAATTTGGTATCGACGTGTAAACCTACATTTATTTGTATCGTGAACCATGGGAACTATGGGACTATGGGAACGGGGGTTTAAGCGGGTTTTATAGGTCAAAATTGTTTACCCTTTTTTTACCCTAAAAATACAATTCAGCAATTTCGTTTCAAACCATTTTGTAGAGCATAAAACAAATAATTTAGTATATTAAAACTTTATTATGCACCAAATAGTTATGAAAAAAAATCCCATGTTATTCTTATGGAGAATAAAAACTGTTGTACTTTGCTTGCTTATGAGCATACTGTATATTTTACAAACCAAAACGTGTTTATAAACCAATGCTATTTAAATGGGGAAACATGTGATATTTTAAGGAGGTATTTTAGAGTAAATCCGATGAGGCAAAGGAAATTCTGTTAGTCTGCAGGTTTGCTGCGGCGGGAGTATTGTTCCTGAGTGGAAGTAAAAAAATCTGGTCCGCAGTCCCCTAATGGTATTAATGAAAAAGTGGAATTACTTATTAGCTAGTGTCCTAACCACCTATAGGGTCATTCGCAGATTTTATTGTAAAAAATTGGTCGAGTTCATTCCGTTGTATCAGTTAAGAAGAGCCTCTCTGGTGTAACCACCGTGGACCACATTCTAAACACAGCCCCATTATAGCGCCTCCATGCAGGCCACGAGGAGAGTTGATGCAACCCGCATGACTCCAGAAAACTCTTTTACTTAGGTTAGAAGAAAATTTCTATCAACCGGTCAAGTAGCCAGTTTAGCAGTTGTTAACTAATTGTCCTAGCACTCTTGTTGGTTAAAAACATTTTTGTCATAACGTATGGTAGCGCCCGTCACGGGTGCGGGTCCCGGTAAAATTTCCCGAAAAATCCCAGTCAAGGCTTGCCTCCCCCCTCCATGCACCACGGACCCACAATTGCCACCTATGACCCCATCCACAGCCAACCTGCACACTAAACAATTTCAATTTGTCTGATTAGATTAGATTTTTAATATCCTATACTCTAATACGAACAATTATCTCGAAAACGGCTCCGACGATTTTCTTCAAATGTTGTAAATAGCTTATTTCTGGTCTAAAAACGAGTTTACTGCAGTTAGAACTGCCAACAAAAATCTAATTACGTAGAAAAATGAAACTGAAAATTACATTTTTTTAACATTAGTCTTATGGGTTGCTAGGTAACCATGTTGGATGAATTAAATAACAAGGATAAAGTAAACAAAAGACTTGAAGTTGTAGCATGTGTTCATAAAAGCCAACTACCCACAGTATACTAGCAAATTACAAATACAGAACAAGAGGAAAAACATCAGTTGTTACTATTGAGCAAAGATTATACTGAAGATTACTCGATACATTGTAATATTAAGAACTACATTGCAATTAAGAGAACACTGCATTGCGGAGTGTGAAAAGCGTCTGCGGCAGTTGGATTACATAGGCTATCTAAAATACTAAATCCAACGGGATGCCTATATTATGCAGAGATCACGTCTAATATAATTCGCTTAGTCGGCAGGTTTGCTGCAGCGGGGGTATTTTGTTTACAGTTTCTTTCTATTATTTTAGGGTTAGTTTTGAAATAACAAGAAACAAATTGTAAACAAAACAGAAAACCGGACAGAACTAACAATAAAATTGGCTTCAGCTGTTCCATAAGGATGGAAAATCTACTAAGGGACTATGTTTTATCATGTTCTATTTATGCTTAAATGCTAAGAGAAGGTTAAGATATTTAGTATGAAATTATGGAAAAGTGGTACAGTATGTCAATCATATGAGCTTTATGCAAGCGCATACTTTGGTAACTATATATTAACTCTAGAACGGTAAAAAGTGTATTATATACATTAAGACTATATAACTAGCTCGAAAGAATTCGGATATAGTATTTTTTATTATTGTGGTTAACTTGGTTTAAAATCTAGAGTTGACTCAATCCGATTGGATTGTATTATGTCATTATGTATTATGGCAAAACTAATACTGAAATAAAAATTTTGCATTATGCACATGTGGTTAAGTCACATGTTAGTGATTAAAGTATCAACAATAGAGTTTTGTTTGTAAACATATTGCCTCGAAAAATTCGTTACTAGATGGTAATAATATACTCAACAAAAATCTGAAATCATGAAAAGAGGACAACCACAAAATAAAAGTTTGAAAAAGTTGGGGAATGTCTTAAAAAGGCACAAATCTGATGAAGACCAGGTAAGTTAAAAAAATATATACATTTATTAATTTAATTACATATGCCCGCATTAAATTCGTGTGGTATGTCATTGATGGTCATTATAGCTTACACCACCAAAACAGAAATTTGAATAGAGTTGCTTATTTTATATTTCTCTATAGCTCATTGTGTGAGGTACATTAAAAAGATTGATGACAATATTTATGATTGGTAGTTAAAAATTATTAACTAATTAAAACTGATCTAGATTAAACTAGGCCTAATCTTGATTATATGATATCAATGTTCTTCAAAGACCATTACATTCTTTTTTTATTCCATGGCAAAGCTAATGGACACCCGTTTAGCCTAAAATGTTATAGAGTCCCAACGAAAAGAAAATGTGAGTTTTTTACAATTTTGTAAACATCATTAGGCTATTAACAATCCTAAAATGCTATGGAAAGGGAGGAAAACAGGTCCGCGACGTAGGAAGTGGTGAAGGAAGTAGTCAAGGCGAGCTGTCTGGAGTGTGGGAACTGATTATGACGATTAGATAAGGATATTGGCAATACTAAAATGCTATGGGAAGGGAGGAAAACAGGTCCGCGACGTAGGAAGTGGTGAAGGAAGTAGTCAAGGCGAGCTGTCTGGTGTGTGGGAACTGTTTATGACGATTAGATAAGGATATTGGCAATACTAAAATGCTATGGGAAGGGAGGAAAACAGGTCCGCGACGTAGGAAGTGGTGAAGGAAGTAGTCAAGGCGAGCTGTCTGGTGTGTGGGAACTGATTATGACAATTAGATAAGGATATTGGCAATACTAAAATGCTATGGGAAGGGAGGAAAACAGGTCCGCGACGTAGGAAGTGGTGAAGGAAGTAGTCAAGGCGAGCTGTCTGGTGTGTGGGAACTGTTTATGACGATTAGATAAGGATATTGGCAATACTAAAATGCTGTGGGAAGGGAGGAAAACAGGTCCGCGACGTAGAAAGTGGTGAAGGAAGTAGTCAAGGCGAGCTGTCTGGTGTGTGGGAACTGATTATGACAATTAGATAAGGATATTGGCAATACTAAAATGCTATGGGAAGGGAGGAAAACAGGTCCGCGACGTAGGAAGTGGTGAAGGAAGTAGTCAAGGCGAGCTGTCTGGTGTGTGGGAACTGTTTATGACGATTAGATAAGGATATTGGCAATACTAAAATGCTATGGGAAGGGATGAAAACAGGTCCACGACGTGGGAAGTGGTGAAGGAAGTAGTCAAGGCGAGCTGTCTGGTGTGTGGGAACTGTTTATGACGATTAGATAAGGATATTGGCAATACTAAAATGCTATGGGAAGGGAGGAAAACAGGTCCGCGACGTAGGAAGTGGTGAAGGAAGTAGTCAAGGCGAGTAGTCCGGAGTGTGGGAACTGATTTTTACGATTAGATTAAGGTATTTCCAATCCTAAAATGCTATGGGAAGGGAGAAAAACAGGCTCGCGACATAGGAAGTGGTGAAGGAAGTAGTCAAGCCGAGCTGTCTGGAGTGTGGGAACTGTTTATGACGATTAGGTTAAGGTATCTGCAATTTTTAAATGCAATGGGAAGGGAGGAAAACAGGTCCGCGACGTAGGGAGTGCTGAAGGAAGTAGTAAAGGGGAGCAGTGTTTGGGAATGGATTTATGTATCTCTGCAATACTAAGACTGCTTTCAGAGCAAACTAATGATTATCCCGAGCAAAGCTCGGTCCCCAGGTACTTTTTTTTAAACAAGCATGAGTCATATTTATTTATCATTTAAATAATATTTGTATAATAAATAACAAGGGAATTTTAAATTAACTGATTTTTTTTATCTTTTTCCATAACCTTTAATTGTACAACAATGCTGCAATATAATTTTGTTAGTGTTTGTAAGTTCTAGATGGTTCTACAATGGCTGTGATAAAAATTGGGCATTCGCAATTTTTAAGAGTAAAATTTGAAAACCCCCCTTAATATGTTAATCTAGTTTTACAGATCAATGCCAAAGTAACAGTATATACTGTATTATATAGGTACACAATATTGTGTTTATGGACACACACATACAGGGTGTTTCAGGAAAGCGTAGCGGGCTCAGATATTCAATTTAAAGCAGTTGGTAATTCAACCAATCCACATTTACCTCTTATTTGTTCACAAAAACGTTGAAACAATTGAAATTGAATATCTCATAATATGTTTTTCTCACTAGTTTCTATTGAATTAAACTTTGTGATTTTAAAATGACTGCGATTTTGATCATAAATAAATAAAACTTACATAACGTTTTTATTTATTATACGGTTTTCGCAAATAAAGTGTCATTCGATTTGTAATAAATAAAAAGGACTTTAAATTGTGTTGCAAAATTGTGTTTTATAATCTGGTTTCCATAGAATTTGACTTAAATGATTTTAAATAGCCGCCATTTTGAAATTCGATGAGCCTGATCAAAGATATTTTCAGAGAATGTTTATAGCTGTAGATTTAAAATTTATACAAAGTTTCATAAAATTATCTCCAAGGACTTTTGAGTTCTAAATAAAAAAAAAACAAAATGGCGAATTACGGCTGAGCTAAGCCGAAATCTGAAAAAAATTATTTTACATTTTTTACTTATTTTTGCATGTAGAATCTGAATCTGCATAGCCCGCTACGCTTTACTGAACCACCCTGTATAAACAGTACATTCAGAATGTATATACAGGGAAATGTTAGTATAGCGGATGATTAAAATACAGCTCTATAAGCTAGGCGCCCACCGGGCAACCCAGCGGGTGACGCGACGCGACGCGGCACGGCGCGACGCGGAGAAAAACTTCCGTCCGCTTCTCCAGGGTTCGCGCCCACCAAGCAACTCTAGCGGAAGCGCGGGGCAGCGCGGAGAATTATTCTTTTGGAGGGGATGCACAGTGCACTTCGATTCGGACCCGAACACTCCCGAAGGGCTCGCGATACTTTCCGAAAACACCCGAATGAGCGGCAGACGAGGGGCAGACGCCGTTTCCGTGCCTCTACCCCGCGCCCACCAAGCAACTCAACGGAGGCGCGGCAACACGAGAGGAAGAAATTCTCCACCGAATTCTCACTGCCGGATTCGAGAAGAAGTTTTTTTCCGCGCCGCGTTGCGCCACCCGCTGGGTTGCTAGGTGGGCGTCAGTCCATAAGATAACATGGCACGGATACGTGGCAACTTTTTTCCACGGCGTCGCGCCGCGCCGCGTCACCCGCTGGGTTGCCCGGTGGGCGCCTAGCTTTAAGTATGCTTGAAAGGGAGGCTGTGGATGATTCTGACAGCTCTCTTTTGAAGGTGGAACAGGAAGTGAGTTCTTGTGCTTTCACCACCCCATAGTGCCTATGTATGTGTGTAAAAAGGAGAATAGGTGTTCTCATTATTTTGGTTACACAAATTTGAGCGAATTGTGTTTTTTGCCTTTAGGTACATCCAAATGAAAAAGTAAATCATTCCCAGTAGTAGGCCTTTCTGTGCTACCTAATTGGTAATAGTTTCTCTATAAGGAAATTCAGTATTAAAGATTGTATGCTATTCAATATAAAAAGGTTCCAAAAGTACTTTAGCATATATATTTTTGCAGGAGGAGTCACAGGATGGATACAAACAGATAGCGCTTGGGACACAAACAATTCTGGAATGTCCAGTGTGCTTTGAGAAGATGGACTCTACATTAAGACAATGCATGAACGGACATGGAGTATGCAGACCATGTGCATCAAAGATTGACAAATGTCCTACTTGTAAGGAAGAGTTCTCCCTGGCACTTCATCAGAACACATTGTTGAATCAATTACTAGATTTGATTCCTAAGATTTGCCCTTATGCTGAGGAAGGTTGTAACTCGGTGATCATAGATCAGGAGCATCAGACCTACTGTGAATATCGACCAACTGAGTGTAAAGTTATGGCGTGTAAGTGGAGTGGGCGTGTCAAAGACTTACTTGAACACTTAAAAAGTAGTCATGAAACTGGGATTATTAATGTTAATTTAAATGAAAAATATTCAAGATTCTATTCATTTCATTCATTTACGACAATAGAAACTTGGAGTCCAATTTTATGCCAAAATCAAATTTTTTGGAAGTGCTTTTATCATCCAAAAGGTCATATAAATCATATCTACCATCGATTATATTCTGTTCCAACAATGAAGAAGTCTTGTGATTACTACATGGTAATATCATTTGAAAAAGGTGATTTAAAATTTGAACATTATTGCAAAGCGGCAAACTTAGATGACCAAATTGAACCTGAAAATATAGAGGGTGGTCTTATCATTCCTGTTAATGAGTTAAACAGATTTTTGGTGCAAGGAACACAAAATAAGTACGATTACAAGCTGAAATTGGTGAAAGAAAACATTTCATAGATTCTTGTGTGTCATGTCAAAACAAAATGTATAATTAACGCTGTTGAAGACCATTAAACAAATTCTTGTTTGACAGCACAAGATAAAGTAAATGAATTCAGTAAAACAATGGAAACACATTCTAACTTGGCTCCTTGTTAAGCCCAATCAAAGTGTAGTCAAAGATTGCATGCATCGTTGTAATAAAATTGTTCATTATTCTATAAGTTATGTTTTATTCTTTTGATTCGTCCAACCAAAAACTTGTCTATCACGTTTTAGCAAATTTCCCACAAAGGGAACACATATAAAACATATCAAGGTCTTGAAATATGTAAGAAACAGATAACAATATCCAATCTTATTTAATTGGTTATTGATTATTTTTTAACACGGAGAAAACTAACAAAATGTTTTTTCTAAGGCACAGATCAAAGAAAAATAGCTATTGCTCGTAGAAAAGTTATATTGACATAGAAATTAAGGAACAGTTATGCCATTTACAAAATAAAATAACTCTTTTTAAGTTTTGAAAATTACCTCACTCATTGAAACGGACACATATTTTCAAGCCTTGCTTGAAAATGTTTAACTTTGTTCAGTAACTATTGATATAAAAGTTCCATTTGACTCCTGATTGTGGCTTTTAATTCGTCCAGAGTAAGTGGTTTTTTTCTTTTTGAACACCTGTCTTCATGTGACTTCACAGGGAAAAATCAGTCATTGACAAGTCTGGTGAACGCGGTGGCCACACAACATCACCAAACCATGAAATCACACGACCAGGAAATAACATTCAAAATGCTGCCATAGAGGCATTGGCCGTGTAAGCAGTTGTCCCATCTAGTTGAGACTATATGTTCTTAATGCAGATTTTCTACCCTTCAAGTTCGGAATGAAAAAGTCTTTTATCACGTTCATGTATTGTGCAGATTAATTAACAATGACAGGAGTTCTTCTCTTCAATGATTGATGGATCATAGATCCCTTATATCCCTACAGCACACTAAACTGTGTTCCTGGTGTGTTTGTTTTCGTAACTGACCCTTTAATTATAAATTAGAAGCCCACATTAAAACTGTATTCTGACTCGGAAGTTCACTATGACGACCAGTACGAAAGTAATGTCTAAAACATCGTTGAGTTTTCACTCTTGAACCACCACTTTTTTAAAAACCATCCTATCTCAGTTGGGAATCCCAAACATGCAATGATCTTTCGTCCACAGCGGCATGATGGCATTGGACGCGTGTCGTAACACTTCGGCCCAAGTAACACTTCGGCCCAGTAACATTTCGGCCCGAAACCCTCAGGTGTGGCCTATGGTCCAACTCCAAAACTTTAAATAAATTGCCATTTAATTTAAAAACTCACATGGAAAAAATGTTTTAGAGATTAAGTAAAAGCCTAACTCTTAAAAAAAAACTTGCTATTCCAAAGAAGAGTTCTTAATTTGAGTCACCAGACGATAGAGTGGACTTTTAAATCTGATAAAAATCTCAGTTTTAAATTGTATCACAGTACCGTATCGTACAACTAACAATATAACAGGAGTAGATAACTGTTATAAAAATATTAACTCCATTCATTAATATGGGGAAAACGTGTTACTATGGCCGTTTACAAGATTTGAACTTTGTGCTAGTTACATAAATATTATTTAATATATTTAAAGGGGTTTACTGGAAAAATCATCAGTAGTATTTTTTATATGGTAAACTATTTTACCGTCGGATTTACGGAAATTTTCGCTCTTGTTTTACTTTACGTTGGCTACTCTGCGTGGCCGTTGTCATAGCAATGAACAACAAAACAAACAAAGACAAGGCCGATCAGGATCGACGTTTTAAATGACTTGACATTTCTTTTTGGTAGTTTTAAATTAAAACTAATGTGTTATTTGTAGCCTACTGTTTCATGCCCTAAGGAACCATTTAGTGAACAACACATTCATGCTAGTGCGAAAACTGTCTGTGTGAGTGTTTAGTGTTCATTGCAAATTGAGGTTAGAATAGTCTATTATCCATTTAAACAGTGAACTTATAAACACTTTTTAAAATGACTAGATCATCACTTATACTAGAAGTATCTTTGTTCCTCCACTCTTATTACTTTGCGGTATTCATTTTACTCGAAGTTGCATTTGGAATATACAAGGTGGTTAGGCTTCCTGTTCAAAGTAACAATGTTATTATCGAGTCACTCATAATTTTGTTCCTGGTTTGCATCGAACTTGTGCGAATATATCTGGGACGGAAAGGAAACCTCACACAAACATTGTTACCGCTGATTGTGTCGACGATTCTAACTGGACCATCCGTCGCTGCGATAGTCTACCTCGTCCGCTGGCAAACATATGTTTTGTGGTTGGAGGTAGTTCTGTGCTACATACAAATTTTTCTTCAGGGAGTTGAGTTTGTTCTTTCTTTAGTGACGATTGGAACATTTTATAAATACATGGCCTATTAATGTTTTGGTTTGTAAATGCATTCCTACATTCCTTACATTACCAGTACCAATTTATGAGATGCAAAAATTATTTGATTCATCATGGGCTATTGAAGCTTCAAGAGAGTAATGAGAAACATTTTCTGTGTAAGATGCAATGCAAAAGTCTTATGGCTTTCCTCTTTATCTTCTTTTTCTCCTTTTTCAACCGGCGCACACTATTTAGCCCTGGGAGTACCCTTCCTCTCTTAAGAATAACTTGATCTGTTCTTGACTGAATTCGGCTGAGGTCGTTGCAGGAGACTTGCCCCCTTCAGGAGACTTGTCAGTTCGGCTTCAGGAAAGGGCGGTCAACGGTCGACCCCATCGAGGTGGTAAAGCGAGCCGTGATGGGAGCTTAAGATTTTAACCTTGTCGAGTTGTGCTGCTCAAACCACACACTTGATGAGACAACAACCAAACAATTTTAATTCGATGAGATGATGCGATATGCTGGATCCTCTGGAGAATACATTCTTTGTCCCGTCATACCTCTACACATCAATGTCATAGAGATTTACCTCCGGCTCCGCCTACTCATTTATGAGGAACTTATGATTCAAAACTGGCTACAGCCGGTTCCCATCAATCATTATCGTATAACGGAATAACTTCCAGTAAAGAGGATGGTCCTATCCCTGAAATTTTTTAAAATTTAAGTACAAAATGGTTGATTTTAAGATTTTTTTTACTGTACCATACCATTTGTTTTGTCAATAAATTTTCCATCATTTCAACATTTTTCAACTTGCTTCTGTGGCCACTGGCATAGTGTAAACTAATTCATTTCTATGTTTTTGAAAATTATTGTTTATAGTGGGGTCTGGAGCCCCTCCTAGCCCATATTGATGGACTCCCTTGAACACCTATGCAGGTTCTTTGCCGATGCATATAAAACAAGTAGTCAAATAACTACTACTATTTTTACACTCGATTCACACTCGAATTCAATTCAATTATGAAATCAAGGTAAAAGAGTCAATCTAAATGTTGATCAACATCAGTGGATTCTATGAAGTGTTTGCAGATGCCTATAATAGACTATTGTTGAATTATGAATCATTCACTTTTCAAAAGAGGTAAACTAGGCTACAATTGAGATAACAAACTCATTACACTCTGTGTTAGTCATTGCACTGGACAGTGAAAGAATTTCCTCACTGATCACTGAACTAGCAGTGTCATGATTTAAATACAATTGGGTTGAATCATCCTTAGTCACAACTCTTATCAGTCAACCTCTTTGTATTCAAACCAAGACACATAGGTTTCCTTCAAAGAGACGTGCCTATTAATTTGTTAAATTTATTGTTTGAACCTAATCGAAATAACCTAGGGTAACCAATATACTATTTACAGACATGTATTGACCTTAAATTACTTTAATAAAAATGTTTGTCTCTGCTAAGTTAAAAGTTCATTGATGTAGAGTAATTCTTTTGTTCCACCTTCACATCCTAGGACACCAAGCTCACTGGTATGTTTACACATTACTTCAGTCTAGTCCTACGGGCTTACGGCATTGTTACATAGATAAAATCCATTGGTGGTTGGAGGTATTTAAACCTGGGACCTCGGGGTCAGAAGCCTCGCGCTCTATCACTATTTTCAGCTCGCTCCTGAAGTACAGTAATAAAGACAAGGGAATTATTTCACATCTATACATGAAGAATAGGTTGTGAAATATCAAAGATGTGCAAGATGAAGAAACCATTCTAAAAATATTTAGCGTCTCAAATCGGTTACCAATTTGAATTTGTAACTGAATATCTATTTAGGCTATTTTGTCTAAGTCTAAGAATTGGGATCTTTTCCAAATAACGATTGGGATCATAGGCTTCCCGCCGGAATTTTCTTTAGGGGAGCAAGCCGGTAGGCCTATCCTTTACCAGGAGTCCTAGAAAAAGGCTTTCCTCCACTAACAAGTTTATGTAAAAAATATGATGGTTTTTAGCTGTCTTAAAGCCAGAACCATCTTTTAAAAAGTTAATAAGGTAGGCCTACTTATTTGTCGCTATTTCTGTATTTTGTCCTTTGAAATTTCGTTTTAGGTTAAAATGTTCGAAAAGGTGAGATCATATTTTACATGATGATTATGGAATTTACCATTGGTAAATTGCAGTTTAAGAAGGGAGATAAATAAAACACAAGATAAATGAATATAGTTCTTTCTTTGGTAAATTTGTGTTCTAAAAATAACTAACAATGGTCACAACACCAAATCTGGCAACGTTTAACACTTATTTTGCGAACATTGTTCTAATATCTCGTAGAAGCTTTGATAGTTCAAAACGTAATAAGCTACGTTTTATAAGGCTGTAAGACAAGCTTAAACTAAACTTAAAATAATTAAGTAAAATCTCAAAAATGTTTGTTGCTCGCACAGCTTCCTCAATGCAAAATACACATACAATTTTCCGCTACATTGTTCTATGGCAAATGCAAATGGCATGGATGCATTTCTAGTTAAGATTTGGCCACAAATAATATCATAATAACGCATAGCTTGCTGTACAGAAAGGATTTCCTCCACCACCTAACCTCAACTAGTATCAAATATTGTGATATTGTGATGTTAAAAACATTGTACTAGACAACGGAATTTTGTTATTATTCTTCATACAAACTAGAAATTATCAAACAATATTAGCAATTGTTTGCTGAATGTATAATAGCATCCTAGTTAATCCATTTTGCTACATAGACACACAATTGGCAATATTCTTTTATGTGTTACATGATAATCCAGATTTAATGCAAAATAAGGCAATAATTCTGAAGGGAACACTATAACTATTGATATCATTTACTAATATGCCAAAATCTATTTTCCACAGACATGTTTTGCATCATATTAATTTCTATAACATGTTGTCGTCAATTATTGATTCCCTCCGAAACACTGGTTTTTAAACTATCTCTGACAGATAGATTAACTGCCACCTTTATGGGATCAGACTAAAGATCAGATCTATAACTGTAAAAAACATCCCCAAAATTTTTGCAAATTACAAGCATGACAGCAATAAAATCTGCAGTATCAATACCTTATACAAACTTTTGATCTCTTTAAGGCTTTTAAAAAGCAAGATGTGGCAATTAACCAATTCCAATGCTTCTAGAACCTGGAATTATTCCACGTAATTAAAAATGTAAACATACAATTTGATTAATTTAATCTTGTTCCCTCCAACTTGATCTTTTATATTAATTATCCTTTTCTGCATTCTTGAGCTAAAAGGTTGGGTTTGATCTTATACAAAAGCAAACTATTTCTGCTGTACGTTCATTATTCCCACTAATAAAACATTTACTCTGTTCACATACCCCTACATTACACCTTTGACTATTAATACAACTTCTGTATACAATAGTCAATGATTACACCCTAGTCTATTTTTCACACACTCAACATCAAATCCTTTGGTAAGCCTTAATAAATACCTAAAAATACTGCACCATTTGACAATATAAACAGATCACAGATTTCCACTCTCAAAGTGAATTATATTTTATATCTTAGTCGCTGCTGCGTTTTGCAGTCGTCTTTTGTGCGCTTTGATTCTCTGGTTGCAATAGATTCGGAGGAAAACTGCAGCGAAGATGACAATAACACCCAGAACGCCCAAGAACGTGATGGAATGTTGGTAGATTAAACAGGACAACAGAATGGCTAGTCCCTGTAAAACAAACAAACACATACAGATAAAGTTGAGCATTTCATAGTACAGACACACTACTTTAATATTACTTGTCACTTAACTTGTTCCATAATGTTGCCACCTTTGATTAGGAAAAAAATCAAGATGGCTCCCTCCTCCCCTGGAGCAAAAGGGACCGAAGTCAGAACTGTCGCGATAGAATCAGGACGGGTGAAAACCCTGATAATGACATTAATTTTGCTTTGAATTAAACGGAACAGCTGTTTTTACTAATTAGCTTTAATATTTTGGCTAATTACATAGATCCAGGGCTGTGCGAATCCAGAAATTTTGGTTTGAATCCGAATCCGAATCATAGCTGTACAGATTTTATCGAATCCGGATCGAATCCGAATATTTTAATTAATCCCGAGTCGAATCTGGGTCGAATCCGAATCTCAAATTTACAGCCATTATCGAACCTGGATCGAATCCGAATCTGAAATTTAAAGCTGTTATCGAATCCGAATATTTAAACCTGTTCAGAGTCGAATCCAAATCCGAGGAAAGTCAGCAGTACCAATTTTCACATTTTTAGACCACATTTTCTGGGGCTGAAATAACTTAGGGAATTGCTTAAAAAAATTCTTGAAATGGGCCAAATAAAAAAGTTATAAAATTTAGGCCTACTTATTTGAAGTTTTGAAACTAAAAAATTGGGCATAAGTTAGGCGTACCACCTAGGCCTAAGTTACTCGCTAAAAGTGATGGACTACCAATTTGTGTAGTCTAAAACATAGGCCCAGCCTATTATACACCTCACTGTTAATCCTCCACACAAGCCTATGTCTGCATTACTATTACAAGTAACAACTAACACTGTGAGGTTAAGTTTACTGATAGCCAAGATAGGGTTCAAATGCGACCTACACTAATGTGCCTAAAACCTAACACCAAGTTGGTCAGGTTCCTAACATGAACCAGTCAACAGCAAATCGGAGTGCACAAGTAGTTTTTTAGTGTCTAAAAAATTATATTGAAAATTATATTCAATCAGAATCTAGTAAATTTGAATATCGAATCCCAACTCGGATCTATTTCCAAGAAATTCGAATATCGAATCCGAACCCGGATCTCTTACCAGTAAATTCGAATATCGATTCCGAATCCGAATCCAGTTAGAAACAGTAGATTCGTTCTCGAATCCGAATCGAATCTCTAAAGAGATTCGGATTCGATTCGTTTTTCGAACTATTCGCACAGCCCTGCATAGATCCTAAGTGTATGTGTATGTAAAAAAAAACATTGAAATTTCAGAATTCCTTAGGGAGTAGCCTGGTAGTCCGAGGAAATGTTTAAGGACGGCCTATGAGTTGGCCGCCTTTTTTTTGGACAAATTTCGGCCTAGTCAATTTAGTGATTTTTGCTTTCACCTATAACAAATATTGCCTCATCTCTAAATGATATTTACTAATATAACACATAGGCTGTATAAGGGAAAAGCTCTGTTCAAACGGTATGCATATCTTTCACTCGACAGATTGAAATTGGACGCAAGACAACATAACTTACATATAGGCCTAATAAGAGTAAGCTTAAAGTACCTGACGTATGGTCATGATTATCACAAAGACGACGGGGCCGAAGTTGGCAATCGTGTAGAAAATGAAGAGTTGACCAGCGGCCGAGCTGATAGACAACAGCATGCAGTCTATGGTGAACATCGGAAACTGGAAAATATCATACAGTTGTAAAAACATCTGAGAAAAAAATGCCATTACTGTTACTTGATATTTATAAAGAAAAAAATAAACACTACTGTTATGTGATCAAACCTATTTGCTTCTTCCAGTACAACGGTTCCTGGGTTAGAATAGGAGCACAGCCTTCCCTGGTTTGTCGTAAAATGTGACTAACAGGGGTTAGAAGATCCTTTTCTTCGTGTTCACAACTTTCTCCGAGGTCCAATACCAGGAAAAACCATGAATTTTCAATTTGAATTGAGCTTCACAGAGAATGGGCAGAGGGGTCAAGGACGCTAATTCCCAAAGGAGAGAACCTATGGAGCATCCCCGCGGCCCTCCAAGACCGGTGCTGCCAGGACCGGAAGTTCAGAGGTTTCAGGCGCAACCCCCCACTTTTTTTGGTTGTGGTCAGAGAGGTGATGTTAGGAGATTTTGCTACAAAAACTAGAGAGGTAATGATAATTCCTGACTGGCAGTTTCACAAGAAGGAAATTTGATGTAAGTTAAGCTACCCAGAAGTACTAAAGCCCACTTCCTTTCTCTTGTTTTTTATCTAACTTAAATAAGTCCATGAGAACATCCTTCTCATCTTTGGCTTGGTCGTCAAAATCTTTTGATTTCCGTTTTTCTTCAACCATGTTCCGTGAGTTATTCCTTTGCTGAGGGGCTAGTCTTAACATTTTAAAAAGCTTCCATAAATGTCTATGTACGTTTTCCCAAAGATAAAAAAGAAGCAGTTTGTACTCTCACAAAATACCCCTGGTAACCGATTGTTGTTTTCACTGGAAAAGCAACAGTTGCCATCACAAATAGTTTTTTTTTAACTCACAGGATATAAACTAATCTTTTACTTTCTAAGTTATGAATCATCTAATGTTTAACCTTAGACATGAACTGTAGCGAGTGAACAAATCCGCTCTGTTGTGCGAGAGAAGTAGCGGTGAAGATGCAGGAGAAGAGGTTGACCCCACACATCATCTGGACGGAACTCATCGAGTACTGTTTAAACAGAGCACTTTGCCAGTTGGACGTGAAGCTATCAAACACCATGTAGGCTCCGAGTAGAATCACTCCTGAGAATGTAGTTACTGTCTCTGTAATAAAAACAAGGTGAGCTTAGTTCTAACTTTAAAAACCTATTCCTCAAAGAGTTTGTCGAGCCTTCTTCGTCATGCGTAAACCACTGCTACGGTTTGATGAGCCATTCTTGTCATATTGCAGCCTGGCAAGTGGTGGCAACTGACGGCAAATCAGTGAACTATTTCAAAATAGGAATAGTTAAGAAATGTGTATGCACATAGCCGATTGTCCATAAGTTGCTCGATCTTTTATAGTTTTTCCTGATTGTAGTGCGATATAGAGAGAGATATTGTTTTAAAAACGATGAAATATTGTACTAAAGAAGGTTATGAACCCTTTAAAACAATTTAGATTTGGACCCAAAACTCTAATTGATATCACCCTAGGTATTTTTTATATTATATTATAATTATGAATTAAATCATGATTCGCACGAACACTTTCACTTATGGCGAATAGTAAATGTTAAAATGAGGGATTGTTTGGCATGATTTGGGAATTAAAACTACACTAGCAGGATTTGGCAGGCGTTAACAAATCCTGCTTTGAAGAGGTAACATTTTTATTTCAAACTTTAAAGATAGAACTAACCTATAAAATTTAGAGTCCAAATAATGGATGTAATTCAAACACAATTTTGGCAAGGTGTAATTTGTATGCATTTTTATAAAAACTGGAATATAAACTAGATCAATTTGCTGAAAACTTGCATCGAAACAAGGTGATGGAATAAGAGCTTAGTCTGTGAGCTCTATATCCCAGGCAAAGTCACAGCCTCCTATCCCGCAACTACCTCCACCCAAGGCTCACTAGAAAAAACAGGCCATGCTGCAGTGCGTACAGCGCTTCACTACGTCACAGTGGTGGATAGTTGTACTTATGCTGCCAGACGTAAAAAGCCAGCTTATTTACCTAAAACATATGGGATATGACAGTGAATCTATCCACAAAGTGACGCCATAGATCCTGCAGCATGGCCTATTTTCTAGTGGGGCCTTGCTCCACCACCCTTTACTTGAGTTGTTATTGACCTCTTGCTGATGGACACCTCCCAGTCCACCCTTGTTTTGTTTGTATATCACTGTAGATCAGATGATTAAACACAGAGAACCTTTAGTCATTAAGAGCACTGCTTTAATTTCATCGGTTCACACAGTTTTTAGGCTTCTACAAATAAAACAAGGATGTCAGATGTCATAATCAATGCCAAACAGGACCTAAACTTATCTTTGACTTTCAGCTAAAAACATGCAAATGCACTACACAAATACACTAGTGTTACTGTGCCAAAAAGATATTAAGATGAAAGGAAGTTTGGCTTTTCTCTGTTTTCAACCCCATTATTGAACTAATCCAGTTAAAATGTTTGGATTGCTAGAATTTTGTTTGTACTGGTCTCCGAGTTCTGAATGTTTCATTTTATAACTGTTGTGCCATAAAGAGTAATGGTTCTTTACAACTAATATTGACAAAAGCAAAGCAATATTACCTTTATCGTTGTCCGAACTGCCAAACAAAAACATGGCCATGCCCAGGGAGATGAAGCCTGCTGTTACATACTCGTAAAACTCGTACTTTTCCCTTGAAACGATTTTCCCCATTATCATAACGGGAATAATTTTTGATGCTTTCGCTAGAACCTGAAAAAAAGAATTACTTTTGAATTATTTCTGTAAGTGTAGCTAGTTTTAGGGAGGTTGTATAGTCATCTGATTACATCTGATCTGAGGTTACATCTGATTGGTACCAGGCTTACCCATGGAAATTAATTCCAATGTCGTACAGCAATCATGTCACTAGCTAATTGTACCATACACATGTACACTACTTGGTATAGAATGGTGTAGCAAATTTCAAAAAAGGATTTGTACTTTGTACACGGTATCCAGTCACAGATACATGTTTTTGTCACACTTTCACAAACTAGAATGCTAGTCTTTAGCTTGGAACTGTTTTCACATTACTTAGGCCTTAAGGATTACGGCATTATCATTGAAATACAATACATTGGCGATTGGCAGGATTTGAGCTCAGGACCTCAGGGTACAGAGCCATTAACACTAGAACACCTCACTCCCCCAGTTATGTTAATCATATGACTATGAGGATTAGACATTTCCGGTGTTTAATACCAATGTTCGTTTGACAGTCAAAATGTCACTGCCATGAACACTGGAGGGAAAAAGACCTTTTAAACCTGTATAAACTTCAAAGGACCTCAATATAGGCTGTTCGATCTTAACAAAAATCTGTAGCATTTTGATAGTCAAAACTGGACCCAGCTGTCCTTGTTTATAGGGCTTTAAATATGGTCCTGGCTAATAAAACAGCTGATCTTAGTCAGTAACAAAATTACATAGATCATCTCACTACATTCTACACTCATCTTGCACTCATATTTAGTTAAAATGCACGCCTACAGTACGGTCCACGAGAGTCTGCAGATGAGGGAGGAGTCTATTTAATATGTGAATTCGAAGGAGCCAATGAGGACAATGTGGTGTTACCAAATCTAATTAGGTATATAAGCTAATTTAAAAATATTGTTAAGTATATTTTAATTAGTGTCGAAAAGTAGTGAATGGGTGATGTTGTAACGTCGCGCTAGTCCAGTATTGGTATTGGCTGCCGCCAACGCAGACTCTAGTGGCCCCTAGCATAGGTGTTTTACTGTCTGTAAATGATAACAATTCAAACATTGATACACACCTGGGTAGGAAACGAGACAAACTTGAGCGCCTCGTATTGACACCAGGAACTCATGATGTTGGAGAACGAGCAGTAGATGTACTTGTATAGAGGCATGGAATGTCGGGGCTGTCTGGTTGATATGATGTAGACTCCAGAGAGCGCAAACGCAAGGATACGGTTGACAAACACAAGAAACTGAGAGTCCTTGAAGTGACCTGTCTGTCCTTGTGAGTTACTGTATTCCTGGAGACAAGTTTGGAATTAGTTAGTGATTGGGTTCAAATTTAGTTTTAGTCCAACATAATTTAAGCGGTACAGTATAGGAACTTCATAGGCCTAGTACATAAGTTAAGGAACCAGAATTTGGTCGATAAAATGTACCATGTAGCCTATGGTTAATCAGTTGTCTTTCAATGATTATTAGTAGGAATAGTAAGTTACGTTAAACTGATTTTCAATTTCACTCACTGAGAAGAGGTGTGCTTAATCAATTGTTTAAACCTTTTCACCACTATGTTTTTAAGGTTGAGAAAAGTAATATTTATCTAAAATAAATCCTGTTCTGGGTTAGCCAAAGTTAGGTTTGGTAAGATAGAACCTTAAACAAAACCTCAATTGTGTATTGGTTATGAAAAATGCACTTAACATGAAAATCCAAAAGAATAAAACTCTAAGTGATAGATCCATAAATTCAACATAAGCGGTGTTAGAAAATATTTACTATAGACAATAGAAAATGCTCTTACATATTCCTAGTGGAACAGAAGAGTCTTCAGGAATATTTAGTCTCTACTACATTGATACAAATGTATGTTTTTGTGTGACATTCCTTTTCACAACATGTGGAGAATATCCCATAAAGTAAGCAACATTACACAATAATAATAATGTTGCGGGCTTAGCAGGTTCTTTACAAATAAAACTTGGCGATTTTATAATAACTATTTATTTACACTAATTATTCTATATTTACAGATATTACAATTTCCTAACACCTAACTAATCCTATCTAAACCTAGCTAAAGCCTACTCTAATTTACAATGATTCTACTTACAGCTAACCTTTACAGGATTTATCACCACTTCTGTTACAGCACTGTCACTACACTGTCACTGCCACTAGCACTAGCACTGGTCACTAACACCGACACGCGCTTGCTGCGACGATTCTCGGAAGGCTCAACACAACTCAACTGCCGTGTGCCGGAAGACGGTCCCTTATATAAGTTTGCCGTGGAACATTCTGGAGACCCCTGGTAGCCTAGACAAAGGTGTTTACGCCGTAGAAGTGTAGAAGGTTCTAGGGCCCCTATTGAGGTAGTCCGTTGACATGGGCCTTTTGTCTATCAGTGGTGCGCTAGGAAAAACCCGTGTAAACAAACAACCCTTTTGAGACGGCGCCTGGCTATTGTTGCACGGGGCTCCTGACTTGTAACACTACCCCCTCCTTAAGACTGTTCTGTCCCAGAACAGATTTCCCCTGAAGCTTGCGATCTTCTGGACCAATGTCTCCGGTCCCCCACGGGTTGAATACGCAGACCACAATGTCGATACCAGTGTCCTCGAAAAGTTCTTGCACCATATTTCTTACAGTCTTCCATCCCAGTCCGTCGTAACCACATCCCAGCCTTGGAATAGCAAGCTTTTTGATTCCAAACCGAAGAAGTTTGTCTCGCAGGTCTTGCAGGCTTTTCTTCAACGATTCGTAGGAGGGCTTCTGGCTTGACGCTTCCTTCGTAACGAGGTAGAACAAATGCTGTCCATTGCGCTTCATGTGAAGGGTGGTGCCAATGGCGGGTCTCTGACGCTCAAGATCTTCAGTCCCTCCAAACTTTTTCCTGAAGACTGTGGCTATACCTCGCGACGCTCTCAGGTCTTCTGCTACGCAGTGGGCCAAGGCATATTCCACTGGCAAAGTGAAGAGGTCCTTGTATAACAGCCTCGGTCCGTCATTTCCACGTCTCTCAGGCACGATTTCTCTTGGCTCGGTTGAGAGGTTCCGAACTTGTTGTTCCTCTTGTTTGCCGTGATCTCCGTTGCAGGGTGCAAGCCTGTTGAAATGGACTAATATGGGTTTGCCGTCTGGTTGCCTCTTAATCCGGTAGATGACGTCATTTAGACGGGAAATAACTTCATAAGGTCCTTCCCACGAGTTCTGGAGTTTAGGTGAATATCCACGACGCCTTCGGGGATTATGTAGCCACACGAGATCACCAGGTGTGAACCCTCCTCTCTCGGCCTTTACGTCGTGCCTCTCCTTCATCCTGTCACTTGCTCCAGATATGTTGCGACGGAATTTCTCGTCCATCATCTTCCCGTTCTTTGACAAGGGAGCCACATCCTGCCACGATGATCTTCCTTTATAGCCCATCTTCCACTTCATAATGTGCCTTAGGTCTGGGTCCCCCTTCTGGTTCTCCGAAAGCTCCTTCTTGTCCTCTTCGTCGTTAATGACAGTCACACGACGAACCGATGCACTATAGTCTTCCTTGCGCACACAATTGCCGCTGTCTCCACACTGTTTTCTGAAGAGTGCATCCGCCTTCTTATGGCTCGGCCCAGTGCGATGATTTAACTCGAAGTCATACTCCTGCTTCGATCCTGGAGGGATTAAATGAGGTTTACTCCCGGGACGCCCCATCTCTCCACAGTTCCAACAGCGTGCCTGCCAGTGACGGTTTTTGAGTGCCTCCAGAACTTTCTCTACCAGGTCCTCGATGTCCAGTGGAGTTGTAGGTTCTGCGTCTGCCACACGGACTTGAGCCTGACCTCTCACCGACTGCCGTACAGCCTCGAACTCCAGTGCCTGTGTCAGTGCGTCACTCAGTGTCTTTGGTCTGGCGAGCTTCACTGCCTGTTGAGTCTCAGGTTCACGTAGTCCGTCTAGGAAATTATCCACTGCCAAGCTCTCGAAGACATCATCCGTGACCGATGGATAGGCGTTTCTCACCAGGCGAGCAATGTCGGCTTCAAACTCCTGGAGTGACTCGCTGGGCTTCTGGATCCTGTTCCGCAGCTGTGATCGGTAGAGCTGGTCCATATGTCGATGTCCAAAGCGCATGTCCAATCTCCCTACTAATTCTGCGAAGTTCTTCCGCTCCGCCATTGGCATAGCATGCAGAACAGCTTAGGCTATGCATCGCCCCGTAGTGCAAGACACAGTATCGTAGCTTTTGTCTCCTCGGTCCACCCATGGACCATAGCCGCTGTCTCGAATAGAAGCATGTAGTCCTCCCAGGGAGTCTTGCCATCGAAGTGAGGAACGACGTTCTGAGGGGCAACGGCAGCAATGGTGGGCGCTGGCTTGGAGATCGTTTCAAGGGCGTTACCCGGCTGAAGTTCGCCAGTGCTAGCCGATGACGCAGGTGTGAAGCTCCCCGATGCAGCCATCTCCTGCCGAAGCTTATCAACTAACCTATCTTCTAGATTCTTTTCTATACAGTTAACTTTCTCATCGATTTCATTCATTCTACTTTCTAAACTATCAACTTTGCTAGAATACTCATCTAATTTGTTCAGCATTTTTGATTCTACATTCGACATTTTTGTCTCAATGTTAGCTTCTAGGTTTTCTAACGCTTTACTAGTTTCTGACATTTTTGACTCTAATGTTTTACTATTTTCTGACATTTTTGACTCTAATGTTTTGCTATTTTCTGACATCTTTGACTCTAGGTTTTTTAGCATTTTATTGATATCAGATGTTTCAAATAAAAAGTTATCTGGGTCTTCACCTGCATCAATTAAAGCTTGTTTAAGGCGTGCCTGAAGGGCTGATTTAGTTCCACTAGTATCAAGATCTCGTTCTTCTAATTCTCTCCTAAGATCAGCTACTTTTAACTCATCAAGTTTCACACCTTTGAAAGCCATTTTTATGCCAAACAATTAAAATAATTTTACAATAATGATTTTTTTGTACACAAATTTACGACACAAATTACTAATATGTAACAAAGACCTCGAATCTTACTAATATCTAATACAACTAAAATTAAACTCCAGATTTTACAATTAAAATCGCCAAAATAATGCCGCTTTCTGACACCAATTGTTGCGGGCTTAGCAGGTTCTTTACAAATAAAACTTGGCGATTTTATAATAACTATTTATTTACACTAATTATTCTATATTTACAGATATTACAATTTCCTAACACCTAACTAATCCTATCTAAACCTAGCTAAAGCCTACTCTAATTTACAATGATTCTACTTACAGCTAACCTTTACAGGATTTATCACCACTTCTGTTACAGCACTGTCACTACACTGTCACTAGTGTCACTACACTGTCTCTACACCGTCACTACACTGTCACTGCCACTAGCACTAGCACTGGTCACTAACACCGACGGGCGCTTGCTGCGACGATTCTCGGAAGGCTCAACACAACTCAACTGCCGTGTGCCGGAAGACGGTCCCTTATATAAGTTTGCCGAGGAACATTCTGGAGACCCCTGGTAGCCTAGACAAAGGTGTTTACGCCGTAGAAGTGTAGAAGGTTCTAGGGCCCCTATTGAGGTAGTCCGTTGACATGGGCCTTTTGTCTATCAGTGGTGCGCTAGGAAAAACCCGTGTAAACAAACAACCCTTTTGAGACGGCGCCTGGCTATTGTTGCACGGGGCTCCTGACTTGTAACAATAATATTAGACTGGAGCACATTTGTAATGTTCAGGTAAGGCTGGTTTTATGCACTGTAGTCAAGGGACATTTCTAGTTCTATTGAGTTCAATTGACGCAATCACGCACTGCGGTAAATAAATGTCAACAGACCAGAGCATCGCAGCCTTTTTTTAAATTCCGCTCATTAGTCATTTGCTAAAGAAACGGTCACTGCCACACTCGTCACGGTGCATAAAGCCAGCCTAAATCATGGTGGCCTTCCAAACCATTTTAAGTCCGATCCAAACAAATAGGAACAAGAGCTACTGCACACTCAATCTCAAAGTTAGCCTCTCTAGTCAGCTGTTTAGATAACGTAACTTCCTAACCTGAGTCATGACCTTCTCCTGCAGTAGACCCCATGTGAGGTAGGAACCTTGCAGACCGATGAAACAGAACATAAGCAACAACGCTTCCTGTCTGAGCGTGCGAACTGTGGAGCTACTGGACGGCAACTCACTGCCTATCAGAATGTCCTTCTCTGTGCCGGTGAAACACGTCCTGACAAGCGCTGGGAAACATCCTGGCACTGGGGACAAACAGGATGTTAAACGTCAAACGGGTGAATTGGTTACGTTACATATGTTACTAGTATAGTAAACAGTAAAGCTATGTTAGTATGGTTAATATTGTTTGAACTCATAGAAACTGACACCTTGATAACATTTTATAAAGAAACAGTTTTTGGTACTCACCAACCACACCAGGTTAGGTTAGGTTAAGCAACCAAACATTTTACAATGAAAGAAAATTATTTTTTTAAATTACAAGTGGCTTAACCTTACCTAGTGAGTGAGGGATAACAGAAAAAACCTGGTTTCGTCGGTATAACAAACAAGTAGGTACCAAATTTGTATTAAAAGATTTGAGTTAATGATCATGATAAAAGTCGCAGCTTTTGCGATTCGGTGGCCTAATTTAATCGTGTGTTTATGTAAATATTAAAATAACTGTGCACACACAATTGACTAAAATCATAGCCTCCTCTATTACAAGGTGTTGGTGTGTCGCAATTTCGTACCAGCTGGCTAATGCCATGATTATAACAGTAATAACAAACGTGCAAACATAAACATTGTACAGACACTACATTATGAATTCATGCAACAGCTGTTTTAGTTGGCCAGGAGTGCGGCAAACACTTTTGTCTCGCCTTGTATTAGAGGAGGCTAACTTAAAATATGAATGTAGAAAACTGTACGACAAACTAACCTATTTTATTATTTTGACGATTACAAAGTGAAACCCACCTGCTCGGTCTAGATACTTGCTGGCCTTGACGTACTTAAAGATGATGGCACCAGGCAAAAGGATGGTGGCGTAGCCGAGTACATTGAGAGCCAGAGTGAAGAGCCAACTGGCCTTGAAACTGTCAGGGATTGGCTCATCGTCTCCTACGAGCCAGTGAAGTACTTGGGTCACCAGGTAGATGATGGCTATCGAGCACACCACCACAAAACTGCAAAACAAAGTGTAACATATATCGTATGGTCATGACGTAGCAACAATAGCCTAATATGTGCAGCTCGCTATCACTGTGAATGGCTGTTGACTTAAGACTAGATGCTAAAGGCCCGTTCACACGGGGCGAGTTTACAAGCTACACGCCAGCGTGTAAGAAGCCGGCGAGTGAGCTTGTATTCGTTCACACGGAGCTTGTCCACTCGCCAACTCGCAGACGTGTAGAAAGACGCCGGCGAGTCGGCGAGTGCGCTTGTAGTCGTTCACACGAAGCTTTTTCCACTCGCTCAGTAGCTGGCTTGAACCAAATCCTCCAACATCTTTGAGTAACAAGCGCACAAGCACAAGCAACTGTGTTCACACTGGGCTACTTTACACGCCTACTCGCGCAAAAGCTGGCGAGTTGGCGTGTAAAGTAGCGGCACCGTCAACTTTTTCCAGAGCTTTTTTACAAGCAGCTTTTGAGCGAGTACGTCGTTCACACTGAGCTATTTTACTAGCTGCGTGTAGCTTGTAAACTCGCCCCGTGTGAACGGGGCTTAACTCGGAGAAATATTGAGTTTCAATTTCCGAACCAGTCGTCTCTCCAGAACGGAGTATGAGAGTTTACTAGGCCAGCGAAACATGCTTTTAGAACAAAATTAAGATACTGGGCAGAGAACTGTAAGCTAGGCCAATTTTATTCCTTCTCCGCTTTCAGATCCAATCGTTTCTGAGGTGTTATCGGTCATTAAACCCACCACATATAGTATTAGTTCTACCACATCCCTCGGGTATGGTGATCAAATTTCAAATTTAGCTTTTGAATGTAAACTTGTCCGCAAAATATATTTTGATAAAATGGGATCATATTTTTATTTTACCTACAGTACAATAAGAGCAATAAGAGTAGTGAGCCTGAAACCATTTAAGAAAAACATATTTACTTTTATTCATTGCTCTATTAATTTGTTAATTTATTGACAGAAAACTGTTTTATCAAAAATAAAGTTAAGAAGATAAGTTATGGAACATAATTAATTAGCCTACATAATATGTTTATTATTTTGGGACAATTTAAGCTTACAACACAATAATTGTTGTCTTCTATCTCAATAAAAAATAGGAGACAAGCAAACGTGAAGACTGCCAACCTTGTAATTTAAATATCTTAACCTAACCTAATTTAGGAATAGTTAAAAAAAAAGATAAAAAACTATGCACAACTTAACCAAACTTACTTACTATCTAAAAAACGAACAATTCATTAGTGAATAATTATATCGGTTCTTTATTTTTTAATAAATATCTACAATAAGAAAATAAATAAAGTATATTGAAGAAAACACTGTGCGACGTAGCGTCACCATCTCAACGTGGTGATAACATATGTACACATTGCGCGATACAGTTTTTTTATGGTCTTTATTTTCCTAGATCTATGAGACAACAGCGAACACATGTAAGTAACCCGAATCTTGTTTGAGGTGTGAGTATAATTATGAAGTTTAGTAATTTATAGGGGCCTATACAGCTTAAAAATGATTACTTTTGTTTACATGAAAGCTGTAGTAAAGTTTACCCTCGCCTAATAATACAACTAAGGTCAAATGCAATTTGATGGACTTACTAAGTAACTTATACATTTTTAATGGTTAGAAAATCTGGAAACGTAGAATGCCATTTAAACTAGGGTACCAGAACAGCAGTAGGATTAATTTCTTTTTTGATTCGATCTGTTTAAGTGTTATTTTTTTTGTGGCCAGGGAAGACTTTTTACTCTAAAAAAAAAACTAATAGATTACACTAAAAGCACATATCTGACTTCTTTTGAAATGAATTGTTTGGGAAAAATTTGGTAATTAAGTCTAGCAACAAAATGTCTGAACTATTACGAAAAAAAAAACTTACCAGATGACGATTTCAGGTGCTCTATTCCTCATCTCAACAGATGATACTGTCCCTTTCCTCTTCAATCTCAGAGACTACTTGATACAACCTCTTCATATTATACTGATAGCATTTTATCTCTTCTCGGCCCGGGTTTCACTCATCTGAAGAGATTAATAATTTGGTGAATGAGATTTTAGAGATGGAAAACCCATGTTACAAAACATTCTCATAACTTACAGGTATGGATTTAATTACCTATTTACGTACCTATTCACTTGCTCACCAATACTACAAACCCAATATACTAAGTTATAGCGTGAAATAGTATGTTTACTATCGAGAAGTGATATAAAACATCAATAGGGCTAGTATATAAGTTAAATTATATTAGGAAAAATACTTCCGCTACAGCAAGGCAAATTTCCATCTGCCTGATTGGATTTTCACAAAAATATTTACTAAATAATGTCAGATTTATTCCCTATATAAAAAACATTAGTTTTTAACGAGTAAAGAAATTGTGACATTTTATAGTTTTAGGGTAATAAATTGGAAAAACCTCTGTTCAACCTAAAAACCCCATTCCCATAGCCCAATAATGCTAGTTCGCACAATCGTTTGAATAAACATAGGCTAGGTTCACACATTTGTACTGTATCAAATTATATCAAAACCAGATTATTTTTACATGCGTACACATTGTTTACTGTTTTATGAATTTGATCGGATGGTCCTTTTGGCCTCTGGCGACATCAAAGTAAAGCGGTCCCGGGTCTAGGTACTTCCATGAGACCTACGGTAATAGCTTATTTCCTATACAGTATAGGAAATTAACTAAAAAGTAAAAATACCAATGGAGAAAAATACCATCTAGAGTGCAATAATACAATTTTCAAAAAAAGTAAGGTGTGGGACAAAGTTATAGGCCTAGCCTAAGTTTTTGGCTTTAAGGTGTGTTCTGTGTTTGTTGTTAACATGACTTAAACTGTTTAGTGGACTAAGCAAAAATGAACCTTGTTCGAGGTTCATGAATTAGCATTATAATTAAATTTAAGTCTGGAAGTCAGTCCTTTCAACTAATCTGTTGAACAAATTTAGGTAGGCCTACTGATACAGCTTAGAATTTAAGGTGCAACAGCTGAAGATTTCTGGAAAAAAATAGCCTTCAACTTGGTTACTTCCTACAAGATAGGCCTTTTAGGAGCCGCAACGATTTGCAAGATGCGTTAAGGACAAGGACTTTGATATATAACTGACTACATTGTATGTACAAAAAATGTCTAACCATAGAGAAGTGAGATACAGAGGATACAAGCGCTATAATATGGAATAATCGTGGGCTTTTAGCTCTGGTGTGCCGGGGCGGAAATGTAAGTAAGTTACTCATAACGAGCCAGGAAAAGCCCGAATGGTGATGGCAAAATAACATTGTTGTATAGCTGTTTTTCTTCAGCGCTGTAGTAAGTTACATGATGGCAAGGGGAAAGAAGAGCGGGAGGGGATGACAAATAGAATTTGCTCTAATACCAGTTACTGGTTAGTTAGGTAAAGTTAACCTAACCTAACTAACCCAACGATATATCAAATGAAACAATCGATTAATATTTTTATTTGAATGAGTGTAGGACCTAAAGTAAAGTGCAGCCGAAAAGAATAACAAATACTATCAGAGATAAAAGAAATATTCAATCCACTAGGCCTAGACCTATTTAGGAGTTGAGGGTAAGACTTGAAAAAAATTATTTTGAAATGGTCGATGGTAATAGATCTTTAAGGGTGATATGATAAAAAAAAACAATACTAATCTCCAAAATGATGGTAAAATAGGCTAAACAAATTTCTACGTTAAAATCAAGCCATATGACCTTAACCTAGGCTTAGTAGTAAATGTTGCTATACAAACCTTGTCAGTTTAGGCCTACGGAGAATAATTCAAAACACGATAAGTTATGCGTTGAAAAGTTAAAAATTTTTAGCCAGTAATGTTACAAACAAAATAAATACTTAAACGTAACGTAAGCATAGGGTTGTTTGTGGTTAACTTAAGCGTCAGCGTACCGTCAGCTCAGCACCTAAAGCCTGTGTCACACTTGGCTACTTACTAGCAGCAGCTACTGAAATAGCAGCTACTTTTCCTGTCACACTTATTTTGGTAGCGTCTATTCACTAGCTGCTACTACTAGTTTAGCTCAAGAGAGGTTATGTCCCAAAGACACGGATATTTTCTATACAGGTTCAAAAAATTAATCACATCTCCCCCACCCCACTTCGGATCACTCATGATTACTTCAGAAATTATTCAAAATGTACGAGAATAAACAAATCAGGCAGACAGCACGTGGTGCAAGTAGCCGCTAGTCTGCTATTGAAGCTGTCACACTGGGCTACAGTCGCTACTTGATAGCTGCTAGTTGGTCACGTGATTCACTAGCGCAGTTTAGTAGCACGGAAAGTTGGACATGTTCAACTTTCCATGCTAGTAAAATTTCACTAGCGCGCTACTCTTAGTATCTGCTACTGCCTATGTCACATTGGCTACTTAGTAGCTGCTATTTCGCTAGCTGCTAGTAAAGTAGCGTAGTGTGACACAGGCTTAAAAGAAGACAGCAGCCACGCAGTGTTGCCACCTCATTGTTGCGATTTTACCCTAAAGGCGGGCTAAAATTACCCTAAATTACCCTAAATGTACTTTGAGTTACCCTAAAAATTACCCTAAATGTTAATATTTGCGTTTAATGCTTTAAAACATTGTTAAAATAATATAAATCTTAAATAAGGTGGTTAATTAAACTAAATAAGGTTCCAATATCAATCAATATACGTAAGATTATACTCGATTCTCAAAAAACCCGAAAAGAAGAAGAACATGTCGATATTCAGCTCTATCGTATATACGAAAATATCGAATCACGAATTATCGTATTTTCTTACCGTGTCGACCCATTACTACTGTTTTTGGACAAGGACAATCATATCTTTATAATACAGTACGGTAACACCAAAGCTTTAATGTATACTTATAGTAATTTTTTGACACAATTTGTAAACTAATCCTAACTTAAAATATGAAATATTAATCAAGAAGTAATGAATAATATTTCATATTTTATTATAACGTGTTATAGAATAGAATTGAATACAATCTAAAATAGATAATCGATGATTTATCTATGCTATTGATTAGATCGATTAACTATAAACCGGTTGAATCGCATATGACGGTTTGGCCATAATATGTAATGAACGTTTTTTGCCAAATTTTGATGTTCTTTTCATGTTTTTAGTTAAATTTCCATTGTTATGCTAACTTTTTGCTTTACCCTAAAACTACCCTAAATCTACCATTACCCTAAACTTTACCCTAAGACTAGTAAATTACCCTAAAAAAGGGTAATTACCCTAAAAGTGGCAACACTGAGCCACAGCCAGCATGCAGCAGACAGCACTCCAGCAGTGCACAGAGAGATACAGTAAACGAGTAAACAAACACTAAAAAGTCGATACATGTGTTTTTTTAATTCCGATGTCAGCTGACATGTTGAGTGAATATTATTTAACGGCCACCTAAAATAGAGTTGAATAGCTTTGATCAGCAGGTGGTTGACGTCATCGGAGATTCACTATGTTGTAGTACCAGCAGCACGTTTTGTAGCCTCTGTTGCCCTATCGTTCTCATAGGGATTTCGAGCCCTTGTGGGCCATTTTGTAGTGTCTAAGTTAAGAAAAATGGGAAAACAGTGAAACCATACAAATTAAGTGTCTATTCATTAATCTTTAAAATCTATCTTCCGAGCCAGTGCACGGCCACCTTTAATTCCGGGCCACGGCCTGGTACAGTAATATTGGCAACGTTGCAAGTAGGATTGTTTAGGGTCAGACGTCCCATAAGATAACATGACAGACAGGTGACATCCGCTCATTAATTAGCACTTTATTGATTTAAATTTAAATTCGTGAACATAAATTTATTCAAATATTGAAAATTAAACATACAGAATTGAAAACCAAAACAATATGAATTGAGAATCTATGTCCGTAAGTTTTTAAGCAGAGTCAGCAATATTTTCATAGTCCAGTAACCAAGCTTTCGTAAATACACAAATACCATTAAGCTGCTTCCAAACAAAAACAGCTGTTACAACCCTACTTGCGACGTTGCCACTTTGAAGGCCACGGCCTGTATTTAAAGGCGGCCGTGGCAATTGGTGTAATTTGTTTATGGTTATCATAATCCGAACAGTTTCTCTTCCGTGCCTATTTAGGTTAATGTATTGTAAAATATTATATGTAACACCATTAACTAACCAACGTATGTTTAATCTGTGGTAACATATTATTCGATTGCCGGTATTCTAGACATTATACAAAAACGTAATGGGAGGTTTGCCCAAAGAACCTGTACCAATCACTTGACGGATTCCATGTTTCTTAATTTAAAGAAACATTTTCGAAAGGAGAGGAATGTCAAAAAGTCTTAAGTCATCAATTTAGTTAAGAGTTTCAGTCTTAAAATTTAATTTTAATTGAAGTCTTGAAGCCTGCGCTAAAAAATACCTTTTTACCTAAATATTGTCTCAGACGGTTGACTTAAATGTTCTGGATACAGTTAAGGCTTCAGAAAAATTATAAGACACAAAACATGAGGATTCCATTACTACTAACCATAATAACCCCTAATAGTGGCCTATGTTCTTTTCGAAATATCTTATTTACTAAAATACGATACGATGGTTAAGAATAATACATAAAATCCATTTCATTCTCCGGACAAAGATGATTTTACTGTTTCATTGGTGATTTTTTATTAACCTTGGGCCCAGGTTTTCCCTTTATCCTTATTTTGAATAAAAGATCGTCTACGATGGTATGTTTATGATATCCTTAAACCTAAGCTCTGGACAATGTTACTCTGCTACTTCCATATAGACTCACTTAATCGTGGTTCCATGGTCTCTTAAAAATCATCTGCTTACTAGACCACCAACGATGGATGTACCTACTGGATTGTGGATAATGCTCCATACAAACCTCATGTATTTGCCTTTACTTCTTTCTTACATTACGACTTCCACCTGTGTTACCCTCCTATCCACCTTTTTACCAAAATAAAAATATGATCCAGCGTAAAGCACTGGATCCAGACAAAATACCTACTACTTCCATTATGACTCTTTAATCGAGGACCCGTATTCCCCTCCTATTTACTTCCACCATGCTCCTATCCACGTTTGTACCAAAAGATTATTATAAAATGGTTTAGCATAATGTACAGAATACATTTCATTCTCCAGACAATGTTACTTTTACTACTTCCAAGGAGAGTCCTCTAATCGTGGTGTTCCCTTCCTGTCCAACTGTACTAATATTATCGACGTTGGTTCTTTTGTTCTGGATACATTTGATGCTTCCCTCACTACAACAATACAACACATCAAAAAATATCTGCTATAATGGTTTTTCAAACCCTATTTTAAATATATTTAAAGTCCATACTTTCATTGCGGAGCTTCTTTCAAAATTACTGTGCCTTCATCGTGCATTCAAGAGAACATTAATTTAATCCAGGAAATCTAGTTTAGCATATTATAATCAGCTAGTTTTGAGTAAAATAATACATTGGATATAGTTAAATAACCAGTAAAAATAATACCATTCACCATGTATACTTAGGCCTGTAGGTTACTATATTTCCGTATTTGCATTTAACTTAAACACATCTTCCTAATCCTATTTTCTTGTTATATTGAATAATGTGCATATAATACAACAAATTACTGTAAACAGAACTTTGCAACTTATTAATGTTGGCTTGTATACTAACCGAAAGCATATTTTCTTAACAGCTGATCTTTAATAGTTTCTCATTAGTTTATTGTTGTATTTCTTGTCGGTAAACAATGCTATGTATTTTCATGTTCGTTCGCGCAATGTAATTGTGATAATTATTAATTTACGCGCGTGTTCTTATAGTGTAGTGCTGGAGTGTTAGTGTATATTAAATCGTGTAGTGTGTTTGTGTCAAGTTTTGGTGACATTTAAAGGCTGAGTTTCCTGTGATAACATGCATCTTTATTCTGGTGATTCATTGCGGCATTCAATACATGCAGGTTACCCATGTAGCACAGATGGTTGGGCCAACGTTGGCCAACTGTGGGACAGTTGGTCGATGGTTGGTTGGAGCTTCCACAACCAACCAACCGTTGTCCAACTGTATATCTCGTAGTTGGGCCAACCAATATTTACAACTGTGGACCAACATCGGTTCATTGTTAATGAAATACATTAATATGCATTGTTGGGTATCATACATCAAGCCAACCGTTGTCCAACCGTTTTTCACTCCGTTGGACCAACAAAAGATACTTTTGTTGGACCAACGATGGTCCATAGTTGAGTTTACACGACTTTCATTCTCTGGGTCTAGCTTTCACAACATAATTATAATAAAATATCTGGTTTTACAATACCTTTATCAGTTCCAAAAGTTTCCAAAAGTTTTTGGAACTGATAAAGGTATTGTAAAACCAGATATTTTATATATTACAGTTCCGGGGCTACAACAATGAATTTTAATAATTACTAGTCTATGGTTAAGATTTCATAAAAGGGTGGTTAGTCTAATTGCAGTATCCTAGGTCAATGATGACGTTGTGTTCAATCTATGTAATTCATCTGTATATCTTTGGATAAAACCCGTCTGAGGTTGTGGTGGTAATATAAAATCGTATTCCTGAGGATTCTTGATCTCCTTCTTTATGACATCAATATTTTCGGGCCTAATCCAAACAAAGTTTAAGCATTCAAAAACACCGGTTGTAAACAAAAAGCCACCAAGATAAAATAAAACATGTACAAATTGTGATTTTTCTACTGTTTCCTAAAAAAAAGTTGAGCAGTAAAATAATTTGCATATCCTTTTTTTAAGACTCGTGTACAGAGCCTCGACTTGTATACATCGATGGTGTTACTTATCTCGGTGGTCTACTAATCTAATCTTACATATTTTCTATAATCAATGACAAAATCAGATTAAATAAAATAACCTCATCATAGTTCTATCATAGACTAACCAACGTTTTATCTATGGTTCTATAGAGCATTT